CTATTGAGATTCATTAACAGGAATATAAGACCAGACTATGGGAAGTGATTGTTTTATTCTCCTCTTCCCTGACCAGATTCCAATGAACCATTCTGACAGCAATGGACTCCTCAGTTCAAAAAGAATAGTGATAGATACAGCAAGTTCAGCAGAGGCCTATTGAAGAGTCTGGAAATCAAGACTTACAGGGAACAGTTAAAGCATCTGAATATATTTAGTTCACAGAAAAGCTGATTAAGGGAAAATATGATAGCAGTCTTCAAATAGGTGAAGAGTTGTCTTATAGAAGAGGGAATAGACTTATTTTCTGTTAGTACATATAGCTTAAGTAGAATCAGTGCGCCAAAAATTCAAGGAAATAGATTCAAGGTTAGACATCAGTAGCAAATTTCTGAATGTATAAGTTGTCAGAGAATTGAATAGATTGAAATGATAAATTCTCCTTCATTAAAAAAAAACCCCTACAATGCTCCATCAAATATTATATATCAATCAAAACCAACTAATCATTTGAGTTTAGAATGGGTAACCAATAGGTGACTTGGTAAAACTTTCCCCTGCAATAAGGTCTAAGACTGTGCCCCTACAGACAAGCTGGATGGTCATCTATCAGAGATATTTTAGTGAATGCTGCAGATGAGACTAAGTTTCTAATTTTGATTCTGTGATTTTAACCCTTAGTTCCATTTACCTTTGTCTCTCTCTTTCTTTTTTGGTCAAGTTGGTACATTTATGGAAAGAACATTCAACTGTTTATTTTCTATGAAAGCCTGGACTGCCTTTGTGGAAATAAAGAATGGTGCTTTGCGTTAAGGCAGTCCTGCAATTCCTTTGCAGATTACGATAAGCAACCCGATACTCGCTGGTTGGGTTGGGGATCCCAAAGGTAGAAGATTAAAATAGCACATTTATTTGTCTTGGAAGTCAATATAGGTTTTGTTACAGCTCCCTAAAGCTAAAGGGCAGTACAAAGACTTTACTGGTATGTTATGTATAGTCAGATTCTAGAGGCCTTGAAATTGTATATGCTATATATGCTTCTACAAATGTTTATAGGCTTCAGTGCTCCCATTGTGCTAGACTCTGCGATTCCATATTGTGACTCAGAGTCACCTCTTTTAGTCACACATGTAATGCACAATAGTGTTCCCTCTTCTGATCTGAAGGATTACCTATATAAATGTTTTAAGTTTCAGAGAATAATTTCTAAAGTGGTTAATCATGCTCTTTTTTTAATTAAAAAAGCAAGATTAATTGCTTTCTGAACCAGGTGTCATTGTTCCAATAGAGCCAAATAAATCAGGACTCCAAGGCTAGAGGCTTCCTCAAAGAACATGTTTATTGGATACAAAATATTGCCATGATCAAAAGTGAAACCAAGTATGAAAGTCCCCCTAAAGAGTTACACTATTACAAAGTTAAAATTCCCACCCCAGTACTATGCAATCATACACGTTCCCCCATAGAATAAGTTTATTTATTTATTTATTTATTTATTTATGAGACTTATATACCGCTTTAAGTGCAAGCACTCTCTAAGCGGTGTACACCAGTAAGCAATGTATATATATATTTACATTGCCCCCAACAATCTGGGTCCTCATTTTACCTACCCCGGAAGGATGGAAGGCTGAGTCAACCTTGAGCCGGTGAGATTTTTGAACCGCTGACCTGCTGAACACAGTCAGCTAAAGTGGCCTGCAGTACTGCACTCTAACTGCTGCGCCATCTCGGCTCTTGGTGGGCTTTCTAACAAAACAAAGCCCAACCCTCTAACATAACCGATAGAATGACCTTGGTTCCCACTGGACACTTTATTGTTTAGACTAGCAAAATCCTCTGCACCCCCTCCCATTCATGTGGCAACCTAGAATGAGCAAGATGGCTTCAGCGAGGTTCATTGTAGAGTTGACACCAGACTTTTCTAATTAGCCAATTGCCCAGGAGTTAGATTGTATTTCACATTCTGGTTGTCTATAAAAAGAGTAACATATAAGTCTTGCTGATAATATTGTGACCAGGAGTGGATCTAACGAGGGATGCTGGCATTGCTGTCTGTTTCCTTTTCTGTTTTAATAATGAAGAGTAACTGATAAACTTTTGGGTAAATAAGACAAACATTGGCTCCCAGAAAATTGTTGAAATCAATTTCTCAAAAATATTAAATGCATGGAACAGATAAATATATATTTCTAGCTGTCTTCTGGAGAGATCTACATTAGAAACAAAATTAATACATTGTAACTGAGAAACATGTATATATTTTGAGTCTTTCATCCTTATCGATCTTTCATCCATAATGAAACTATTTTAGATATGTCTAGTGGAAATTGGTGGCAGTCAGTAGCTCTGTTTTCATGAAAGGAGAGAATGAACACAAATACTATAGAACAATGAAGTGAGAGACTCCACTTCTTAGCTGTATACATTCACTCAATGTCTGTCTAATTTCTACATAGATGAGGCTCTGTCCATATGGCCAGGAACTATGGAAAACAGATTTCTAAATTGAAGAAACATGATAGTGAAGTTGAAGCTGAGTATGAAAACATAATTTGGCTTGTTTGATTTTGGTGTATTGGGCCAGGAAGCTGCTGTGATTTATAAAAGTTAATGGTTTAGTGTGACTATATTTTTTCTGATATTCATTGAATACCCTTGGCTTGGTTATTATCTCATAGACATGATGTCACACACACAAACACACAAACACACACCATTGAAATCTAAAATGGAGTAAAGTTGATTGCCACATACTTTGGGAAAGGTTGAGAAGATACAGTTGTTATACTTTCAAGAGATGTATGTTGGGAAAGCATTCATACGGGCACAGGTATGCATTCAGCAGCTGTTAGTATTCTGTTTCACACCACTCTAGTCTATGGTGTGGATTATATCTTCCTTTCAGCCATTCCCATCCTCATCATATTTCCTTTCTTCTCTTTTAGAAACATCAGTTCTTCTTAGCTGACGTTCATGCGTAGGCTCCTCTGAGTTGGAAACTGATCTAACAGACCCAGAATTTAATTTTCTAGACTCAGGAATGACTCAGTGGAATATTGAGAAAATTGAAAGCACAAAAAACGTGCTTCCTTTTCCCTCTGCTGTGATCAGCAACCTCAATGAAGTAGCAGGGTGTCTCCAATCATTAACCTTGGACTTAGAAAGAACCTTGGTGTTTGACCTGTATTTCATTGACCCTTTTAGGCCCACTGAAGGTATTTGCCTTTAACTGTGACTAAAATTATTTTAATTCATGAGCAAAGTAAATTTGCATTTTGTTCTTTTTTCCTCCTCCCTATATAAAACTACTTAATTTGTATGAGGTTTTCTGTACCTTTGTTGACATTCCTACCTACTATCTTATCTCTTCAGAAAGAGATGTCAAATTTTCATGTCTAAAATTCAGTTGTAATGTTCAGACAGATCCTTTTCTGATAATTCCTGAATCAGTCCTTAGGTGATTTCAGCATGAACTACAGTATTTCAGTTGGAGAATGCATGTATATTATTTTATTGAAATTTAGCTATTTCATTTCAGCACCATTTCAGGTTTTATAGCACTAAAAATAGTGGGCTGAACTTCCCCCATGCTAGTGCCCTAGCAGCCTAGCTGATGTGCAGAATGATCATAACACAATTATGCTGGCAGGTGATGATGGGAGCCCTAATACATAATATATGTAGAAGAAGATGGGTTGGGGAAAACGATAGTATTTTCTAAGTGTTGTAAAGGATTATGTATTTGAGGCAGGTGCAATATTAGGCCAAAACGACCACATGCAGATTAAAAAGCGCCTCCCCCCTCCCAATAGCCACTAAAGTAAAATGTTTAGATGTGATGGGGAGAATTTCACAGGGGGTAATCATATTTGCTGTAATTGTCTACAGTAAAATAACTACCTTATCAAGGTCCTGCATACTTTCTGGAGTGTAAACCTTACCACATTATTTAAAGGTCAAGTGGAGATTTCAGTAAAAAAAAAGTATGCTTCCTTTGAAATAGCAGAACAAGCTGAAGGAATGATAACATAATTATGAATTCTAGAATGCTTTCAATGCTAACTGAATTGCTTCCCCCCCTTAATGATTGCATTGAAATCATGTTGTGTAGTCCATGGAGAACAATTGGGGTGGCAGACAAAGAGTCCTCTGCCTCACCTTTTTTCAGTGCTGCCATCTGTTTCACAAAGGCAGTGGTGTTTTCTTCTGGCAGAAGCAATGAAGTATTCTTTTCAACAGCTGGTTGTCATAACACCCCTTCCCAATTACCTATATCAAAGGAGAATTGAATGTTTAAAAGATGGTTGGTAACCATAATTCCTTCCCCTTAGTACTAACACCTTAATGTTGCAACATACAGTAGTATTAAACAGAGAGAGTTGGTGTTGGGAAATAATTGCCTTGAGTTGCCAAGAAGTGCATCTCTGTTTCAGCCAAGACCTTTTTTAAATTATATTAAATTAAATTTATATAATTTATGCACTGGCAATAACAAAAAAAAAACTGGAAAATGCATTATATCAAATTATAAAAAAGAACAAGAACTGATAGCAAGTCCAGGTAACAGCACCGACACCCCCCAACAGGACGCCATCCACCCTAACTCAAGGTATAGGACAGGGGTCTTCAAACTTTGCCCTTTTATGACTTGTGGAACTTCAACTCCCAGAATTCCTCAGCCAGCATGACCCAAGCTTTGCAGAATGCCTTCAGGATGGGAGCTACATGGAAGTCAGGGGGAATCTCATTCCATAGTGCTGGTACCATGCCAGAATGGGTGCACTTCTTTTTTTTTTTTTACACCCTGCTTCTGAATTTTTCACTTTTTCTTCCTCAATAACCAATAAATAAGCTGCTGAAACTGAGTGACTTATTTTCAGTTATCTGATGGTAAATGGGGAAAAGAGGAAGCACTGAGAATTTCACATATGAATAAGAACTGCAGCTTGAAAGTCTCTAAAGTAAGATTTTATTTAACGCTAGCCCTTGTCCCCCAGGTGACTCGTGTGCCAGTGGAAAGCTGTGAGCAGTATGCATCATGTGCACTGTGCCTGGGTTCTAGAGATCCTCACTGTGGTTGGTGTGTCCTACATAACATGTAAGTATGCTGAATTGTCTCTTGGTTTGGTTTGGTTTGGCTTGGTTTGGTTTGGTTTGGTTTGATTTGATGGTGTCTCCTGACTCTTATTCCCCATACTCCTTTATTTATATATAAAAACTCTGTTCCACTGTTGAAGCTTACTTCTGACATTTTAAATGCTTATAAATCTGTTACAGTAGTACCATTTATCTTTTATTTAGTAACAGGGTCATGTACAAAAAGGAATATGGGATTCAGGGTTGAGTTGAGGGGTCCTTCATGCTCTCTAAGCTTGGTTGTTTTCTTGTGGAAGTTTCATTACCCAGCTAGATAATATCATCAATGTTAGCACAGTCCTAACACTAATGATGTTACCTAGTTGGGTAATGAAACACCTGCAAGAAAATAACTAAGCTCAGAGAGCACAAAACATCTTCATGTAATGTTAAGTTTAGAGATTGAAATAGTTTTTTGCTCATGTTATATTGATAAACAGTTTTTATTATTTCTTATTTTAATCACTATGATTTGCATTTTTACTGTATTATCACTAATATAATTGTAATTTCATTTTCACCAATAAAAATAAAAAATGTATTATTACATTCTGTAACACCTTATTATCATAGTTCCTACTATCGAGCACATGTCAGCATGAAATACATGAGGCAGAACCCTTTGAAGAGTATAAATAAGAGAAAGTAGCAAAAGATAACCGTATTAGTTAAACTTAAATTAAATCAGAAAACAATCCGTTAAAACAATATGTGCTAAAGCAGTGTTTCTCAACCTTGACAATTTTAAGGCATGTGGACTTCAACTCCCAGAATCCCACAGCCAGCATTCTGGGAGTTGAAGTCCACATGCCTTAAAATTGTCAAGGTTGAGAAACACTGTGCTAAAGTAAGAAGGACCCATAAAAGAAAGGGAAAATGGTAGAAGAAATGGAGCTGAACAATGACAGGAGGCCTTGATAAGAAGAAGTGAGTTTGGAGTAGTCACATTGCTGCTGTGAGATCTAATTACTCAAAAACAAGAGACTATTGAACATGAAGTGATGAAGAAACAGCCAGAGAAGGAATTCATTTCTAGATCTGTTTATGGGTTTTTGGTGGCACTTGGTTAACGTCTATAAAAAATAAAAAGGAGGAAGCTGTGGAGTTTTGCTGTCTAATGGAACTCAGGAAAAATGCTATTTTTTAGTGCAGCACTGCTCTCTTCGTGTTTATATAACACTGAGTTTATGGAGTTATTATAAGATTGCAATAATAATATTGAAGTGCTGTGCATACTCATAAAAGTACTATAACTAAGATAAAGATAAGGATGCCATATTATCATATGATTTGTAATGTTTGGAAAATTACTTGTTTTGCTTGAGTGAATAGGCTTGTCATGTATATTCAACCTTGAATCTCCTATGGTAGGACACCGCAGCAAATTTTCATAGGGGTTAAAAATTCTGCCCATTGTAGTTGTCAGGAACCCCTTATCCTGCTGATTTGCATGAATGTGGAAACCAGCACAGTGGGGAATAGAGCAAAGAATTGCTGGTAGGCTTCACCTGTTTTATTTCAAGCTGAGAGAAGTAAACCTCAATGTCTGATATGTATACTTAGTCTCCTCTTGCCTCTGTGGTAAATGCTTTATGCTATAAAGCTGATTGATGGCAGCCAGCTCTGAGTTGCCAGTTGTCTACTGCATTGGCAGCTTCTGATGTGTGGGTGGTAAGGACTAAATTTTCTACTTACTATCTTGAAACACAGCAGGAGTCACCCTCATTCCAGCATAGATTGACACAGACTGTGCATTTCCCCCAAATAGTTTGCTGTCCTGAGACCAGTTGTCCATGGTTTATTTATTTAGCAAGGATGTGCAGCAACTTAACAGTGATACATATACACACACGTACATCCCTATGCATATGTAATGAGTTTAGACATTGAATTACTTGTAGTAATGGGAAATGGGAGGGTGGTGGGAGTAATGGCATTAATGTAGCACATTTAGTTCTTTCTGCTTGAAAATATTTTATTTTGTCTATAGTTTAAAGAAATTTTCCTAATGACTTTATGAATGCAATTTGATTGCTCAGCATGAAATGTCAATACTTGTAGCTATCAAATGTTTCCAGTTATATTGGTTGATGCATCAAATGCAGGCACCACAATGCTTCTGGTTTGCCATACTGGAAAAGTTAAGATTCTTCAATTGAAAGTGGCTTGAACCGGGGCAGTGCTGAGATGCCAATGCAGGAACATTTGGCAACAGGGAATATTCTTGGGAATCAGCTCTACCCTGTTTTAGCTGCAGAGGAATAGTATGAAGAAGACATAATTTTTTAAACTCATTAATCTGGTTTTCTTTGAAGATCATGTGCAACTGCTGCTACTGATCAAAACTACCTTACAATTCAATGTCTTTAACTCAGGAACTGGGCCTTTCATATAGGGTTACTAATGAAAGCATAAGAGAGTAGGGGCAAAATAATAATTGAAAGACATTAAAAGGGTGATTTTCTTTGGGCTTGAGGGGGGAAAATTGTTAGAAGCTACAGAGTCCTGACTGTTTAGCCATGTGGAGCATTTTAATTAAAATTCAAAGACATCTCTTTCCCTGAAGCATCCCAAGAATATAGGTGGAATGTTGTAGTGGCTCAGAAACTCCATTGTGCAGTGTCATGCTGGCACTTGCTAGGGAGATAAATCATTGAGATTACTAAGACCTTGAAAGGTGCATGTGTATCTGCTTATTCTATATTGCCCTCTGCTTAATTAAATGCGTTCTATAATGAAATAATGTTATCACAAATGCAGGGAGGAGAAGTTGAAGAAACCCATTTAAACTTATTAATGGAGGCAGAATACCTGGATAGAACAGTGCTATGGGGGCAGCGGAGTGGCTGCCTTTGATGAAATAGATGGAATATTTGCAGCTGCTTATTTGAATTGCTTGGAGTTGCTTAATCGAGAGCATAAATGAGTGTGATGAACTGTTAGGCTCAAAGGAAATTGAAGCAGGACTCCAGCTCCATTAAAGCCACAATACATGAGATGGGAAGAGCATAGAATTGATTAGGGTAGGATATTAAAGGATGAGTCCTACAGAAATTTTAAAAAGGATCTAAAAATGCCCAGGTATAATGTTGCATCATCAGTGTCATACAGATAGTGAGAACTGAATTTTGATTCTGCCATGAACTTGCTGATCTTTACAAAACCACTTTATGACAAGTCACAGAACAGGGCAGAGTCTCAATGTTACTCTTTCTTATTCTTACTTACTAGGTAAGAACTTAACTAGTAAGTTACTCTTATTGTTGACTTCTTCCACTTGTGTAGTGAAGAAAACAGTTTTGGCTGTCATATTTTAAGAAGAATGTTGATCTAAGATATATCTGGAGGATGATGATGAATATGTTGAAAGATTGTAAGCATTGCATATGTTTATTCTTTTTTATACATATTTTATTTTCTAATTTTACAATCGTGAGTACTTAATAAACGACATGTTGTCTGGATCCATTGGTAATTCAGTGGTACATATTAACTTTCTCAGTCTAGTTCCAATACTACACTATCCAGTGCTTTCTTGATGCTATCTTCTTCCGGTGGTATGCAGTTTTCCACACTGGGCAAATACAATTTTTGTTACTGTTAATACAAATACAATTAAATATAGACATCTTCATCACATTTTTCTGGTATTATACATAATATTGATAGTGTCAGTTTATAATATCTTTTCTAGCAAGAACATATCTCAATTGCATTTGCACTTAAAATCCATTTGTTCAATCAATATCCTGTTCAATCAATATTAAAATTTTAATTTCCCATCAGTGTTCAAAATATCTCTATCAATTTTCTCAATACATTATATTTGGGTAACCAAAAGCTTCTCATATTCAAACCCTTTTAGAATTTTCATATTTCCCATCTCACAACAAAGTATAATATTCTAATTACAAATCCATCCTTCTGAGTATAATACCTTTATTTCTAACAGTTATCTATTTTCTTAACCATATTCAAACATCTGTTTAATAGTATAAAATCCCATCTAATAGGTCAAAACCCTGTATTTTCTTCAGTCTTGCTCTAGCTTTCTTCCTTTGCCAAATAACCTTCCAAGTCAGTACATTTGAATCATCAAGTAATTCTTCCTTTGCTTTTGTATATATTGTTTGGAATGAGGAAGAGAATTTGATTGAAATATTTTTGGAAGAACGCTCAACCCATTTATATTCATTAAACATCCTCTATCCTTCTCCTTCAGTTTTTCTTTTCATTTCTTGTTTGTCAATATTTAGCATTTCTCCTAACAGCTTTATCATCCGTTCGATCAGCTCTTCTTCCTTATCCTCAAATGTGTTGAGATATCTTTTCCATTTCTGGTGTTATCACTGCATCTTCTAATTTTTCATTTGTCTGTATCTATCTGTTAATTCGTTCCTTTAGGTCCTCCATCTTTGGATCCATTTCTTCTAATTTTCCTACTGTTTTCTGGGTTACTAGTTCCCTCTTTGTAGTCATTGTCTGGATTTGTAAGTTTAGGTTAGAAAATTGTTCTTTTATCTCATTGGCATTATTTTTAGTCTCATCCTGAAATCAATCTTGGATTGATTTCAGCATAGAAATAATTTATTTCTGAGATTCATTAACATATTTTTTGTTGGTATATCAAGCTGGGAGCTTCGGAAACAAGTGTTAAAGATGGTTTTTTACATTTGAGACTAAGTATGAAAACCCATTTTGTTTTTGTATGTAGTCTTTATAGTCCAATAGGGTCCCCAACACAGATAGGCAGCCCAAGAGGGTTTTTTCCCTTTTCCCAGCTGCAGTCTGAAAAAGTGAAAGTTTTCAGGAACAACAAAGAGTCTTATCTAAGTCCGGACTTCAAGCCAAGTTTCCTTTAAGAATAATAAATTGTGGTTTTGTGATTCGCCACTAGATGTTGTTGACACTGTCTTCCAGCTTTCCAAATACAAGCCTATTTTACAGACTTTCAAATAACTTTTCTAAAAAAAAGTCTCAAAGGTACTTTTAGTCCCAAATTTCAAAGCTATATATCTGTATTAATTCCAAATTGATCTTGTAATTTTCTCTATTTTCCCCCAAAGCAATTAATTCGCTGCTTTTCTTTTTCTGAGGGAACGGGGCAAAACCTCCCCCCCTCCTCGGGGAGGATTCTTTGGGCATTTTTTTTCCAGGAGAGTTGTATTAAGGTCATAAAAAGAGGATAAAGTCTCACCCAGTTCCATCCGCATTGCTCAAAAATTGCTAGTTAATCCTTATCTTCAGTTGTCAGCTTAAATAAAGCTTCTGACTGTCCACACAAATGTAGCTAGTCTTTCCCCTGCCAGTTTGGAGGGCTTCCTTGGATCCAGAAGAAGGGCTGTTGCCCCTCTGTGGTCGATGAGGGTCCCCTCCTTCGTTGCCTCTCTGGGTGACTTTCAACCCTTTTTAGGGTCCCCAGCGGGGCAAAATCGAACATGGAAGACGGAGCCCCATCTTCCTGCGTCCATTATACCACGACACCTAACTGGAAGTCAACATTGCATATCCTTATTCTGAGAAGACATAATTCAGGGTATCATGGTATCTGTCTTTGCATGTTTGAAAAACTGTTACAAAGATGAAGGAGCTTGTTGTTTATAATATCCAGACCAACTAGTTCAAATTACAAGACATTTTGTAACTTTAGAAATGTTCTCTTAGCTTTTAGATAACCAATAGGTTTGATAATGGAATGAATTATCTTTCCTTCTTTTTTTTTTAAAAAAAAATAAAGGTCTGATAAGCTAATATAGTTCTAAAGGATTTCATCCATAATTATCATATTGGATGAAATACACATTGAAACTATTTCCTATTCTATGACTTATCATGTAGTGGTTTTGAAAGATCAAATGCAAAAGCATGTGAAACTCACTGCACTCTTGCAAGCATTTGTACAAACACTGAATATTAAGAAGCTGTTCAGCACAGTAAGTATTTGTTACATTATTGTGTTACATCATTAATAATCCATACACAATTGCAGATGAAATTAAAATCCCATCATAAAGATAGTGATTTAAACTTTAAGGAGTAATAACATCTAGGTTGGGAAAAATTGAGATTTAATTAAGCAAGCAAACCAAAACAGAAGAATAAAACTTGTTCTCACAATTCACATTTTATTGTGGTAAAACATAAATTTTAATAACCTTCTAAGAGTAGACTTTTGTACTATCATTAAGGCTTTCTCTGAGAAAATATAACACTGTAAAATGTTTCATTTACTCCTTTCTCATTAAGATTAATTTTAATGTTAGTAAAATAATGCATAAAACCCATCATTGCATGCCATCGTGACCTAGGCGCTAGTTTACTTACAAACATGTATGTGGGTTCAAGAGCAAAATATAATATACAAAAATAACTTGAATTACCAAATAAATATTTCAGTGACTATTTGAATGAGAAGTTTCAGTACATATTGTGAAGCATGTTTTCAATTGATAATATTTATGGTCTCTTTTATTATTTGTGTAATGTAGGAATAGCATTAAGGGCTTTCTCATTTATTTAAGCAACTTTTATTCCATTTCAATTGTAACTGACAAAGCAGTTATGAAAGGTGGACTAGAATTTAAATAAAACTAAAATGAACTAGCAAATGAAAATAAAATAGGTCTTTGCATGCCGTTAGTCATCAATGTAGCAACATAATGAGAACATTGTTAGTTGTAGCTAAAGATTACCACAGTCTTATAGATATTGTTTTTTGCTGTTTCACAGCTGTTCTCGGAAGGAGCGTTGTGATCGAGCTGATGAACACCAGCGTTTTGCCTCAGATCTGCACCAGTGTGTTCAACTTACCGTTCAGCCTAAGAATATATCAGTCACCATGTCAGAAGTCCCGGTGGGTCATTTTACTTTAAATTCCATATAGTCTTGTTAACTATGTCAGTATATTTTTTTAGGATGGTGAAGTATGAAGGTTTTATTGTAGACCCACTTTTTTAAAACAACAACAAAAAGATCACTGTTTTTTTTTTCTCTATATGTCTTTCTGTCAGCTGGTTTTGCAAGCCTGGAATGTTCCTGATCTCCTGGCTGGTGTGAATTGTTCCTTTGAAGATTTCACTGAATCTGAAAGCCGCATTGAAGATGGCAGAATCTACTGTAGTTCTCCATCTACAAAAGATGTCATACCTATTACCAGAGGACAAGGTGAGTTAATATCACATCATCATCCTGCAGCAGTTAAATATAGAATAAACTCAATGTACTTAGGGAACTGAGTTTTTTTAACAAATATTTAAGTAATACAAAAATTGAGTCAGTCTGTGTAGTTTATTGTTAGGATGGAAACATGGAATACATTATGTAATCTGTTTTAAAATGCTTAAAATTGTGTCTTCTGTTTTTACAGTGTTTCTGTAAATATCTGTAGATATTTATAATCTCACTGTTTTGAACCTGGGTGCATTTTCACATACTTATACAAAGTAGAACCACAATAAATACCGATAATAGTTTTATTCTATTACAAAATCCTTCTCTCTGGGGTCAGAATTGTTCAATTTTGGTAACCTGAAGATATGTATACTTCAACAACCACTTGAATTCCCATTTTCCCAATGCTGGCTGAGAAATTTTGGGAGGTGAAGTCCACACAACTTCAAGCTGCCATGGTTGAGAAAGATGCTCTGACTCAGGAATTCTGGGAGTTGAAGTCCATGAGTCATAGAAGAGCCGAGGTTGCCTATCCCTGCTCTAGATAATAAAAAGCACTATCTAAAAATACATTGTTTCTGTCCCTACATGGGAGGCAGATAATTTAGTCTTCAGTTCAGATAGTATAATCTAGGCTGATCTCAGATACTCGGGTTGTTTTTGCTATAGAGAAATCTAAATCCTTTAAGATATAACATTGGCTTGAGAGAGAGGTAACACGGAAAATGTCAAATATAAATTCTGCAGTAGGCAGTTAAAGATCTATTATCATAGTCTTTCATCAGCTTTTTTTAGTTTTGTACTAAGCAAGATTACTTACTCTCTAAATCATTAAAGCTATCTAGAAAGAAGAAAAGTGGTTTAAATGGATCATGTTCTTCCATGATTAATGTTTTCTTATGTCATTGGTATTCACTGAGACTATTTCTTAATTCAGTCAGAACTGAATTTATTCCAACCTGGTCAAATTAAGAAGTCTTTATTTTCACAGATGTCCATGCCAGTCACCAAATTGTTGATTTCTGATCTGTATGCTTGCTTTCTTCTAGGTGATAAGCGAGTGGTAAAGCTCTATCTTAAGTCCAAAGAGACAGGGAAGAAGTTTGCATCTGTGGATTTTGTATTTTACAACTGTAGTGTTCACCAATCGTAAGTAACCTAAAATACATGTTAGTCTGAATTTTTTTTTTGGGACTCGCTCCAAAAGAAGACTGTGAATAGTATATAGTAAAAGTAATCAAATGAGGGGAAAGCAGAGACTGTTTCCAGGGTTGACATATTTATTTTAAGGAAAATTATACCATTGCTTGGCTGATAAAAGTATGGTTTGGCCCAAAAACAACCCAAAGCTGCATGTATGTACTTTCATAAGAAATGATTTAATTATAACAATTTGTTGATTCTATAGAGATTGTTATATACATTTCCTTCAGTTTGTTTGTATTTATAATGTTCTGTGAGTGATGTTGTGAAATTTGGTTCGCAGAACTCTTACCAGTATTACATAGACTTAGAACATAAATTGAAAACCTTTTCAATTTATGAACCTTAGTTAATCGGGAAAATGCCTTAATTCTTGGAAGAACGCAGCTTCCTCTGTAGATGCAGATTCATGATTGTTAGTTAGCATTATTTGAACTTGGTGCATCTATAAACTTCTGCACAGAGGGAGTCAAGCTATTCTCCAAAGCACCTGAAGGCAGGACAAGAAGCAATGGGTGGAAACTAATCAAAGAGAGAAGCAATCTAGAACTAAGGAGAAATTTCCTGACAGTTAAACAATTAACCAGTGGAACAACCTGCTTCCAGAAGTTGTGAATGCTCCAACACTGGAAGTTTTAAAGAAGAGAATGGACAACCATTTGTCTGAAATGGTATAGTTTCTCCTGCTTGAGCAGGGAGCTAGACTAGATAGAAGACCTCCAAAGTCTCTTCCAGATTCTATTCTATTCTGTTCCGTTCCAATCCAATCCAATCCAATCCAATCCAATCCAATCCAATCCAATCCAATGCAGTTACAATACAGTATTACAGGCTAATTCTGCTGACTGTCAGCAGTTTGATTCTTACTGCTCAAGATTGACTCAGCCTTCCATCCTTCCAAGATCAATAAGATGAGGACCAAGATTAGGCCTCCCGGGAGCCAATGTACAATTTTGTGGTGGCCAACTATGCTGAAACGCATTCAGTCTTAGCTCCACAAGGCCGTCTGGAAACAGCAAGGGACCAGCCCCTGCCGCATTGGCCCCGCCCCCTGGCACGCGCTGGGGAGGTATCACCCTTTGTGAAGAATGAAGAAATGCACCATTGTCTGGAAGTGGCCAGCAAATGGCCCTTGCCTACTTAACATATTTGGCTTGATGGGCTCCGGGAGAGTGGTTTCAGCAGGCAGTGGGGCGCTGTCCTCACAGTGCCGAGAGGCTGAGCTAGGTGGTGCAAATCCAAAAAGAAGCACGATGCCGCTCAGCCCCCAGCCTGCCTGATTTTGGCAGGCAGTGGGGCGCTCTCCTTACAGCGCTGAGAGGCTGAGCCAAGCGGTGCAAATTCAAAAAGAAGCGTGCCGCCACTCAGCCCCCAGCTTGCCTGATTTCAGCAAGGTAGCAAGGTGCAAAGCTGGCGAGCTTCACACAGCCCAGTTCAGCCGGGCAGGCTGGGGGCTGGGTGGTGTCGCGCTTGTTTTTGGATTCATGCTGCCTGGCTCTGCCTCTCAGCACTGTGAGGAGAGCGCCTGGCTGCCTGCTAAAACCAGGCAGGCTGGGAGCTGGACGGCATTGTGTAGGTAATGTCAACTCTCACGTTGCTCATGGCGTCCCCTCCCCCAAAGCCCACCAAGCCAGATATGTGAAGTAGGCGAGGGCCATGTGCTGGCCACTTCCAGGTGATGGTGCATTTCTTCATTCCTCACGAAGGGTGACACCTCCCCAGCTGCGTTTCTTGCCTGTTTTTCTCCCTCCCTCATCTCAAATATTTTCCCACCACTCTGTTCTTGGAGGAAGGAGAGGAACAGTGAGGGTCATCCAGTGGACCATGCCTTGGCGCTTGCCCCGGTCCCACCCCCTTCTGCCAGAGACCCTCAGACTGTCCCACTCCTACCCAGGCCCCACAGGCACCCTTGATGCGAACGATGTAGAGCTGGCCATGCCCACCCAGTAGGCCATGCCCACCCTGGCCACACCTACCTGCCCCCCCGAGGACAACCGCAATGCTGATGCGGCCCTCAATGAAATTGACCTAGATTGTTGGAGGCAACCTGCTGACTCTGTAACTGCTTAGAGAGGGCTGTAAAGCACTGGGAAGCGGTATATAAGTTTAAGTGCTATTGGTATTGATATAGTTATAATTCATCCGGTCAACAATTGGCAGATTATTCAGATTGTTTAAACTAAAAACCTTCAGACTTTACATACTAAAAACCATAAAATCTAAATTTGCAATATACTAAGATATATATTTCAGAGAATCTATAGAAACAAATAACTTCCATAGTATCTAGCTAGTTACTGCAAAAACACTTAATAGGGCCAATCTGAATCTATTCCTTAGGAATTCTTTATTTGTTGAGTCTGCTGGTCAGTAGTATGAAATGATGAAATGGAAAATTATGAATATTGAGAGGCATTTCCTTAAGCATCATTGAAATAAATGAACTTTATCTGGGGTCTTTCCTGTCTGCTTTCAATATGTAGCTCTGCATGCTGGGTTGGCTGCATTGGTGGATGCATGATAGAGCTATGCTTCTATAATATTTGACAGAAATGATTTTCATATGCAAAGTAACTATTTTAAATCCTGTTACCAAATGTTGTGACAATGATTTTAAGCAAGATTGCCTTTTAATATTTAGGAAAGTGAAGAATATGTTGAGATACTAGAAGCCTAAAACAGTGGTTCTCAACCTATGGGTCGCGACCCCATTTGGGGTCGAACAACCATTTCACAGGGGTCGTCAAACAAGGCTATCCGCCATTTTTTCCCCTTTTCTTTAGCTATGCTACTCCCTCTTATTCTATTGGCTTTTGAAAGCCAATAGAATAGACTCTATTCAAGAGACTCTATTCTATTGGTGTTAGAAAGCCAATAGAATCTATTGGCTTTTGAAAGCCAATAGAATAGACTCTCTTGAATAGAGTCTAATTCTATTGGCTTTCAAAAGCCAATAGGAATTGTCCAGGCTGTCTCTGCCCTGCTGAGCCTGCCAAAAGCCCCAGTCTGCAAACGGTGCTGCAAGGCAAACTTTCTAGAAAGCTTCCCTCCCTGCTGAGCAACTACTAAAAGTAAGTAAAAGAGGGCTAGGGGTGGGAGGTGGGAGGTCGGCGGGTGCAGGGAGGGTTGCTGGTGCTTTACCTCCCTTGGGGTGGGCCAGCTGGTGGCCCAGCCGATGGTCGCCCTGCGCCCTTGCTGCCGCATGCCATGGCCGCCCAGGAGCGCCAGTGCCTGCCTGCCACCACACTGAATGTGCAGTGGCCAAGGTAAGGCTAGTGGGGCAACAGCGGGTGCAGGGAGGGTTGCTGGCGCACATGGGGCCCGGCGGGTGCCTTACCTCCCTTGGGCTGGGCCAGCTGGTGTCCCAGCCGGTGGTCGGCCTGCACCGTCGCTGCTGCTTGCCAGCTACGCCTCAGCCGGTGCAGGGGGCAGCACCATGCATGCGTGGCGCTCCTGGGCTGAGGCGGTTGCTGGGCAATGGCCCACGTGAAGCTGCAGGAGAGGAGGCGGAGTCTGCGCGCCTCCTCCTGCCCTTCCCGCAGGGAAATACAGGTAGTCTTCGACTTACGACCACATGGTTGGGGTCGCGGCATTGGGAAGGTTGAGAACCACTGGCCTAAAAGATGCTTAACATACTTGCAATGAAATCTGTTACTTGATGCTAGATCTGCTGGGCTGGAAAGGGGGAACATCCCTGCGCTTGTTTTCTGCTTCTATGGTATAAAAGTTGGACAGCATGATAGAAAAGTCAGAACTCTGATCTGGGGGGTAAAGTATGAAATATGCACATAGAAAAATCCATCTTAGCTTTTCCTGACAGAGAGGTGATGCCAAGGCTACTACTGGGAAATCACTACCACCAGCTGTTGCTTTAGAACTGTTTTTCTCAACCTTGGCTGCTTTAAGATGTGTGGACTTGAACTCCCAGAATTCCCATGCTGAAGTCCACCCATCCTAAAGCTTAAGGTTGAGAAACACAGGTTTAGAAAACGCATTTTGGTTTCTGGGTGGTTGCCAGTGAGGAGGTGGATTGTAGGCAGGAAAGAAGACAGATTTCTAAGCAGGACCTTGTTTTTCACCTTGAGATTTTTTTTTTTTTTTTTTGCAGATTTGGTTTCTCTTTGTTTGATTTTATAAGTTTAAAGATATTTCATTGATAGTTGGGGTGTACATTTTTACACATGTATGAACACAAAAGCAGCTTTATAAAAGAGTCAATAAAGAGTACGTTTTGTTCAAGAAAGGCACAATAAGGATGCTGTTTTTAAATATTAATATATGCAAAAAATAAAAAAGAACCAAAAAAAAACCTATGCAATAAACAGCCACTGTGACTGATTTATTATCAGATTGAATTTCAATTTTAGATGAATTATTTTAAAAAGCAAATTATGGTTTGTATTAATATTTATAAAATCACTTTAGAACTATTGATGGCACTGGTTGTTTACAGTGGGACTTTTTTAAAAATTTCCTTATTCCTTTGCTGTCATTTGGCTTTGAGGTTCATCATAAAGAAAGAAGTCCAATCAAATAAGTTCTCTGAAAACAAATACATAAATAAATGTTTGTCATCATATATTAACTTGCAATCAGTATGCCAATTTAATCTCTGTTCAACCTTACATAATTTAGGTTGCTTCTTGCTACAAGATTCACTTAGACAATATATTCTTTCTATGTTTTAAAACAGTTTTTAAAATGAAAACAATTTGTTCTTTAAAATGCAGGGTGTATATGTGTATGTGTGTGTGTGTATTCTTTTAACATTGTAAATAGTTGTTTTTATTGTTTTTAAATATCTTTTTAGCAATAAACAACTGGTTTATACCTCTCCTGGAGATTGAAGGCTGTATTATTGAACAAATATGCCCGGGATTCGCATTTTTGCAGCTATCAAGGACATACATACATACATACATATTCATTCCTAATAATATAAAAAT